ATAAAGGACAGAAATACGGTGTAATGCTGACCTCTGCAACACTATATTTTTATGGTCCAAATGGCTTTCTGTCAAGACCAGTCTTTGACACAGAGGCTTGGATTGGCAGGTTACTGAAGTTGCAGCACTCCACACTAACAGCTCGTATCTCCTACAGCCTGCCTGGCCTGTGCTTCAGGTCACTCCATCTTGAAGTGTGACCAGAAAAAACACTCAGGAGACAACTACTGCATAGAAGATGACACTTTGGAGTCAGTATAATACATTTCCTTTGAACAACTTCACTACCTAAGTTCTGACTACAGTGGAGCTCCCACACAGGGTCACACCTGAGTGAAAAGACCTTTGTTCTGATTTTTCAAGGGTTGTCCTCCTTCCCCAAAATTTGCCTGCAAGTGCCACAGTCTCTGACAGGCAGACAAATATGGGTAAAAAGGTGCAAGAGCAATTTAAGAATCCTTCACATCCCACATGGAGATATTTATTTCCTAGAGCTTTTGACTCTCCAGAGAGAAGCCTGCTGTTCATTTACATGGGAAATAACAATGAAAAGGAACATACAGTGATAGACTTTGGTTACCAAACATGGCCTGGTGTGGTAGCTCCTCTTTCACATTTGTAGGATCCACTAGAAAACAAATAAAATAAAATATCTGTCTGCATGCATAAAACCTAGAAAAGTTATTATCTGAGTAACACACAACCTATACACGACCTATTCATGTCCAGCCTGGCCTTGAACTCCAGGTTGTTGAGGCCTCTTCCCTGGAGGTGTTCAAGGCCAGGCTGGATGTGGTCTTGGGCAACCTGGTCTAGTCGGAGGTGTCCCTGCCCATGGCAGGGGGGCTGGAACTCGATGATCTTTAAAGTGCTTTCCAACCTAAACCATTCTATGATTCTATGATTAGTATAGTGCTCAAGAATAGTTCCAGCTGTAAAACTATCATCACACTAAGAATTTAAAAAAAAATTTTAGAAAAGAAATGCTGCCTCCCGAGATTCTCAAACAGAAGGTTAAATTTAAACAATTGTAGCTATCAATCAAGACATTTCCTATCTCTCTGAAAGGCATTATTGCATCCTAAGGAAATGTATACTAAGTACATTGAAGCACTCAATTTCAAAGTAAATGAATGGTGTTAGGTACAACTAACAATTTTTAGGTGCATTTTAGTGCTTATTGTTGATGATGAAATACATGATTTTTTTTCTGACAATTAATTACTTTAGTATGAAATATTTTCCTATATTTTGATGCCACATTCACAGCAATAGCACATTTAAAAGTTTTTGTATACGGTCATCGCTGGACTAAACATTGTGAATTTTTAGATTTTGCCACTATATGGGTAAGTTATCTAATTCACTATGCTTCAGAACAAAGCAAAAAGAAACTGCACTCCGTGTAAAGTCTTCAGGTTTGGCTGGGTTAACAGGGTGACAATGAAAAAACGTATCATTTGATATGAATACCTTGCCTGCTTCCTGCAGTAGAAGCGGCAACAACTATTAGCACTCTTCCTTAGCCCTGCTCAGCCTCCTCTCCAACACTGCCCCTCAAATGCCATCCACTTCCAGAAGGATGTTTCTGCTTCTCTTTAAACAGTGACACATGCCACTTGCCTCAGTGAGTCAAAAGAAACCTCAGATGTTTTGCCAACAGCATCAGCTCTTGTCAAAAGGTTGGGTGCCTCTACCAGTCTGTTAGATCTCACACAATTCAGAAAATAAACTGGGTACAGATGCTTTCTTACAACGAGACACACCTATTTCAGAACATGGTTCAGATATATTGCTTGGCTACTATGACAAAAACTATTGCAGGAAACACAGAAAGCTATTGCAGCAAGCATAGCTGTACCTCTTCCAGAGAGGCGAAAAAATCCAAAACAAACAAAAAAGCCCTCTGTGGATTTTAAGGGACCTGGAACACTTCCTTACAAATTTCCAGCCAAAATCATTAAGGGGAAAGAAAAGGGACAAGTGGGATCTCTCTTCAGTGCTCCATGCACCCTTCACATGTTTTCCACACAATGATAAACCACTTATTTGGAAAAATGCAATAGTAAAAAAGTGCCCCACTAAGAGCTAACAGACTTAGAACATGTTTTATCACGTGAAATGGTGACTATAGGGTATTAGGCGCTATTATTGAGGGCTTGTAAAGCAAAATGCAGGAAATGGGACATCCTAATTTTGCTCTTGATAACAGAAAAAAAAAATAAAATTCATACTTACTGCAAAGTACCAGAGAAAAAGTGGAACCAGAAAGGGAAGGAGAAAATAAATAAATAAATAAAACACCATTAAATTTAGTTTGAATCATGTGGCAAAGAAATACATTCAAGCTGAACCAGAATAATATAATAATAAGGATGCACCTCTTGTTAAAATGCAAGCAGGGCTGAAAATCACTTTGAATAGTAGCCTTGTGATGAGAAACTTAAGGCCACTCCTTCCTGTAATATTTTTCATTTGATCTGGCTGAACAAATATTAGGGAATTTAACTGGGGAAAGGTAAGTCTGTAGATATTCGCAAGTCTGCAGTTGTCACTGTGGCTGGCCTTAAGACTTACAGGAGTATGAGACAGTTTGCTTTTTGTGCTTGGCAAAAGAAAACAGTTCTCACTGACTTTGTATACATCTCCTCTTGAAAAGAGATCTACTGAGAGCAGGGATTGCACCCCACCAGAAATCCATTACGTGGCTCTGGATTTCTCATCCCATACTGTTGTCTGAATTTAACTGAGAGACTTCATTCATCTTCCTCAGCAACTGCCTGCATGATCAGCTAGGTCTATCCAGTCTTGCAGAACAGCACACACATCAAACTGCCCATTTCCACTTCTGCTAGCAGGTCTTCATACGTGGAGGACAAATAGAGGAGCACAGAAAGAACAGAGAGCTTCTCCCAACATACACTTTTGGTCAAACCAGAGAACTGGTTGCCTTGAACAGCTTCCTTCTCCTAGTTACACAAGACTCACAAAGCATGGAAAAGCTGAAGTGAGATGCAAGCAGTCACTTCTTCAGTAAACTTAGTGGATTTCCAACCATTTCTGTTGGCAGGTGGAGAAGCAATAGCACTAAATATGGAGAGATAAATATCTTTCTACATTTGTCAGCTATCTACCAAAGTAAGATTTGTCTCTTAGTCAGTGCCTGCTGAAAGGACGGAGAAACTCTTCCCTCCACTGGGAAATGAAAGAAAGCAATCAGAAACCTCCGATAACCTAATGCAAGGCTGACAAGGGCAAAGAACAAATTTCTCTCACCTTGGCAAGAGGGGCCTGTTTGCTTCCAGGAAACATCTGTAGAAAGTTTACTTACAAAAACCCACAGGCCAGAAAAAATGGCATATAGAAAATCACCATAATGGCACTATATCGATCAGAAAAAGCTATGTGGCTTGGCTCTTCTCAATGTAAGAGGTCTGACTGAGATCTGTTTAGTCATAAGTAGACATTCAGAGCAGTTCAGTACTCTGAATAGAAGACTAGATCAGAACATGTGGGTTTTGAGCTCTGTATAAAGAATTCTGTACCGGATTTTCCCAACAGAAGTCAACGCATCTGTTTCCAAAAAAAAAAAAAAAAAGAAAACATATAAACGACTGAAGATATCCAGGGTAGGCAACAACCTAAATGTAAAAGCCTTTCCCTGAATTTTTTGCATCTTACACAATGTTTCTGAGCCTTTAGAAATGGTAAGCCAAGCATGCAAGGTCCCCTCTGAGAGGCCAGCTCTGGTAGTCTCTCCCTCATATGTTTTTAGCATGCACCACTCAATCTGTAAAAAGTGGGGATACACCATGATGATTTCAAGCAGAAGAATATATTCAGTCATTTTATCAGTTATAAAGGACAAATGTTTCCAGTCACTGTCATTATAATATAATCATCAATCTTCAGTAAGAAAAAAAACTTGACCGAAAAAAAGTTGGCTAAAATTATGTCCACTTACCAGCAAAAGGATAGAATGGTATTTGAATCCAGACTAAAATTAACCTGAAACTCAACAACCTAACTCTTAAGAAGACAACTGTATGACAAAAGATTATATTTCATTTACCTTTTAAAACTCAAATTTACAAACCGTCTTCTGACTCAAAGTAAATTTACAACTCATGATTGTAGACAGAGGTAAAAAACTGGATGACATATATTGAAGTTTTAGACCACAATTTGTTATTGCACACTTAATTATTAACACTTAAATAGCAGTGAGAAGAAACGTCAAATGCATGAAAAGTATCATTTATTTCTCCTGGCAGATATTAATCGGCCTGTATTCATGACTTTTGGAACTATTACTAATGAGGAAAAATAGCCATCCCAGCATGGCAGCAATATCTGTAGTGAGGGGACATTATTCTAGCCGTTAAAAAAATGGGGGGGAGGGGGAATATCACACCATAGGATACGAAAAACAGTTTCTCAAAGGGGATGTCTATGACTAAATTTCTAAATTGCTGCCACAGCAGAGTGAGGGAGAAATTCTGAAAGCGCGTCCAGCAGGTCAGCCGTAAGATTAGTCTCAGCAGCTATTGGCTAACCGGAGTTCGTGTTTGTTTACTCCCCCAGGGTCTAGTCATTTTGTTACACCGAACCAGGCAGCTAACCAGTGATCATCAGGGACAGCGAGGTGTCCTTTGAGTAGAACAGCTCCTTTTCTTCACTTTTTTGCAGGGCAGAACAGTGGAAAAATGGTCCAAATATGTTTTCTATTATGCTTTTATCAAAAGCATAAAAATAGGACCATATTAGTTTAACTTCCAAGGTATGCTAAAAATTATATACAGCCTCCTGTGGTATGTAAATGAAGCCAGGAGTTTAGTGGTTATCCATGGGTATATTTCCTAAGCAAAAAGAACTTTTGTAAATGTAGTTAGCCATAGTAAATGGACAAGAACTATACAAGCATATTATTCCACTATTTCATGGTTTTAACTGAAGATCAAAAGCCACTATGCTATGATAGTGTTTATCTCAGTACCAACCATTACCTTGAAGGACTCCCGTGGAAGCTGTTACTCCTACTGTCTGTTTTACTTTTGTAGAGTTGTAAGAAAAGTGTCGTTTGGACACAGAATCCTCAGGATTCTGGCTTTTTTTGTCTTTCCTTTTGGGAAGGTGAGGTGAGGAACTGTTTTCTCCTGGGTCACTGGATCCAACAGTAGATTTAGATTGCCGGTCGTTTCCCTGCAGAGAAGCGTACACAATCATCACTGATGAAAATGACAAAGTTTATTTTTTTAATTTCAATATTACTTCAACGTTTTAATACTAAGGATTAGTATCAGGTGTTTAAGAAGCATATTAATTTACAATCAGTACAGTTAAATGACATCATAGAATCATAGAATGATTTAGGTTGGATATCTTAAACTATCCAGAAAACTGTAACTGTCTCGTCAACTTACTATATGATCCAACTGATTAAATGCTCCTCAACAACTCCCAGAAGAAAATAACACATTTATTATCAGGAAATAATGTTTCATTTGATGAAAGGAATGGCTAGGTGAATATATACATGCACACATGATATACAGCTACGTCTCATCTATACATATGTATGGAAAGTCATAAGATGTAACATATATAACTTGTGAATAATTCATTGCCTGTGTAAATGAGACATGGGCATTAATCTAAGTGTCAACAGCTTCTGGAAGAGGATGACAGTCTTCACGTGGCAGCAACACTGTGACTGCCAAGTGGACACTAAGAAAGGGGTCTGCCCACACATCACCTCTTCATCACCTCCAAGGACATCAGCCCCTTCCTCTGGTTCCTCTGTGGTGTATCTAGAAACAGAACCAGAAATCTGGTCCTTATTTTTACAGCTTTGAAGTATGTATGATCCCAGGTGTACTAGCCAGAGATTTTATTATTTATACACACTTTTCAGTCTAAATCTGTTCACAATCAACATTGTTAAAACCGGAACTGTATATAGCAGCCCTTTAAGGTGCTGTTTATATCATTCTAGGCTACACAAAGACTTTATCAAATGAATACGCTCATTCTTGCCTTTCATTAGGGGCTGTCAGCCTCCTACTTTTGCCAGTCTAGCAACACATGTAGTTTCTTCCTAATCCAGTTCTGTCAAAACGCTCTATATAACAACAAAACACTCAAGCAGATAGGACAGCAAACCTTATCAGTATCTGGAACTGTTCATCTTATCACAGTCTTAGCTGAATCACAGAGGACAAATATATTCTACTTCATTGTTTTGCTTAGTGTAGCTGCATGAACAATTCATACCATTTTAGAACTTGGCAACCAGAAAGGCCTTTCATTCTGCAATGGTCATGGACAATTGTCTTCACCTCACTGCTAAAGTTAAAAAGGTAATACTACGTAACACTAACATCTTTCAGAAAAATAAGTCCTGAGCAAAATCCTGCATCTCTTTAAAAAAAAACCTGCACACGTTATTACATTTTTATGTGATTTTTCTAGTTTCCACATAATCAGTAGAGATCAGTTGTGTGTCAAATATCTTACTTAAATACCATCTAGCTCTTACCTTCTAATCTGCCATTTATCTACCAATGTGCTCAAACCTACCACTTATCCTTTCTCTATAAACAGAAATGAGGGCACAGCAATATTTCAGTCTCTTCTAATTCAAACTGCAGACTGTTACTCCCAAGCAATAATGGTAAAAAATATAAATATCAAATCGAAGCAAACAATTGCATGATTTACATCAGTTCAAGTGTTGCAATAGATATTTAAGAGCAGTAGTACATATTCCTGCCTCCTTAAGTTTTGACACTTGTTATCAGTGTGTGTTACAATCCCAATAGAATAAAAGTGAATATCAAATAATTTTCTGTACATGTTGTTCAGTAATAGTAGAAAAGGCAAAAAGTCAAAACTGTTATTGAGTTATTTTTACAAATTCTGGAATTGTAAAGCTCGTTTTAAAAACAAATATCACTTAAAACTATGTTCTTTACTGAGGTTTATATTCTACTGAATTTCAACAGAATGGAACAGAGACTTGTATGTTTTATTGCTTACTGTGTTTAGTGGCTCCAGGGTTTTTTGCTTTGTAAACAGCAAATGGACATGATCAACTACCACAATTATAATGACAGACTGTGAGTCTGACTCTCCACTGCCTTCTACTTGTACAGTAAAATGCATTTGTACAGAATCAGAGCAAACAGATACTTATATTCTGATTTGGCACTGTTTTAAATCCACAGTGGACTCTTTTAGTACACATATACATAGCTACACAGGATACAAAGCAGTGGAGGCTCAAGCTCTATTTAATTGTTAGCTAGGACAAAACACACAAGATAGGAAACTTCCAGTTTATTTAGACTTAGCATGCAGAAACACCATTTTCTGCGAGAGCTTTGTAAAAGGTTCTGTGTTTTTCTTTTAGGTGTATATTTTGAATAAATAAATAAACAAACACAGAAAGACAGCTGACAAGGTTTATGCAAAAGACCTCAAGGCAGTAGTAGATCTTTGCTATGGAAGGTTTTATAAAAAATAGAGCAGCCATTATTGCAATAATATTTTCTCATTTTTCTGTTGTCTAATTGACACTGCAAATAGCTACAGATTCATCAAGCTTTAATAAGCACACCACCAGGTGGTTGTGGATTTTTTCTCTTCAGATTTAATTAAAACCCAAAGGACAGGGACTTTCCATCTGCTGGAACTAAGCAAAATTAGAAACAAACTTTATTATGGCAATTGATACTTACACTGCCTTTAGACTTTCTAGATCCCACAATCGGAGGTAGTACAAAGGTTTTGGAACTGCAGAAATAAGCCATATCTTAGAATTGTATACACTGTCACTATCAAAGACACTATGTATCTATAACCAAGTCGTATAACACCCAAGTTGGCTATGGCAACAGAATTAGTTGCTTCATTCATTACGTTTTTTTACGAAGAATGACACATTTCTGTTCACTAGACTACATTTAAACACATAATCATTAATTTACTCAAACAAATGCATTACATTTTCCCACAATGCATACTTTACATACAGAAAATTAGCAGAGCAGTATTCAGTGAATTACTGTGTGAAAGATCCTTACAACTACTACAATGAAAGCACCCAGCAATTTCAATAAAACTTTACATCAATTGATCAACACAGCTTTTCACTGTCCTTAAATTAATCTGTTGCAAATGTTTTTTCCCAAAATACTTTCAAGTTATTCACATTGTCTACAGTTGCTCACTAAAAAAAAAAAAAAAAAATTACACCTCAGTTTATATGGAGAATATAGGACAAATTCTCTAAATTACACCAATTTGTGGGACAAATTTCAATTTCTTTCCATTTATTTCAATGAAATGTCTCCAAATTCTCATGTTTTCCAAAGATACTAGAAGCCCAAGTTTCTCCTTATAGACACCCAGTTTAGGACCCTATTACGTGATAATTCCAGCCTGTAAAAAATCGACCCAAACTTAAAGCATTCTTAAGGGACTACATATTCCATGAAACATTACCAAAAAAGAGTACACCTAGACTGGTGTAGCTGCACCTAAGCTCATTCAGTTGTACATGTTTCTATCCCAAGAAAAAAAAAAACCACACAAATCAAGCCAAGTAAAAATAATTTTTCTCTGACATTAATTTTGTGATACGTGATCAATGGCATGTTTAGGAGGAAAATAATCTGCTGAATTTTCATTTTCTCTTTTGTTTTTGTTATCGCAACTTTCTTGGAAGTTGTTTATAAAGTTTTGCATCCATACTAACCCATCCATCCATTCATCCATCCCACCCTCCCTTGTTCTCGTAATGATGATTTTGAACTTTACTAGTAGTACTTTGTAAACAAATTGACACACACAAGCACGTGAGAAGTATATCACACACCTATAGAACTTACCCCTGTGGTCTTCTCATTGTAGATTTGCTAAACAGCAGATCACCGTACGGCAACTTCTTAAACTTTTCTCTACCCACTGCAACATAAATTTGCCCATTCTCCAAGTCTGACCCATTCTGAACAAGTTTTCCATCTAAAGTGTAAAGTCTGAAAAATATGAAAACGCTTAGTATAATACAGTAAACCGAATGTTAAGTTTTATTAAAGAACATTGAAAGCTACATTAATCTAAACTCACTAAATCATACTGAATTTCCAGATATGAAACCCAATAAAGTCCAGTGCATGCCACACAATGATCAGTTGGTACATAAAAAAAGACAAGGAAAGACAGAGCAAAATAATGACCTAAATCACAGTTTAATGAATTATTAAGTGTTATAACAGATTAAATACTTTCATAATGTCTAATATGAAATAAATTAATTTGTACTTAGAAGGTCTTTAATGCCTTTCCCCTGATACTTTGGAAGGGATCTATTTTGTGAGTACCCGACCCCTCTCATATCAAGTTCCACCTCCCATCTGTGCTCCACACACTATGCAGTAACCTGTGAAGAACAGCACATTCACGGCCCCATGACTCAAAACCCAGAACCTGTCCACCTAAGACAGACCAAGTTGATAACGTTGGACTTATATTACATAGATCAGAAGGTTGGAACATGGCTGTACCTGGTGGGGTAAGGCTGGAAGTAGCAGGAAATACAATAATACATTATAACAAGAAGCCCTGTATCTTAGACACCTACAACACCAATAAAATACCAAAATTACACCAGGTAGATTTTTACCACAATAATTTATATTTGTACACTTTACTGAGAAGGAAGTAATGCATCAGGGACTGGGGGGTGGGGGGATTGGGGATGGTCAACACATTATTTCTATGCTATCCCAATTACTTGATTGTTGAGTTTGTGATTTTATTTAAGGATGGTCAAAACAACGAGGAAGGAGGAAACATTCAATAATAAATAAGGTCTTTGCTATGAAACATATTCCAAAACCCAACAATATTTATATTTAATTAAAAAGCCAACATTAACAGTTTTGCATTTAAGTATTAAATGCAGGAAT